ATGCCGATGCGCACACCCGGTGATCGGGGTTCCGATCGGACGTGTGAAGATCGAGTGAAGTTTTGATGATCCGATCTATGACGCGATCACGTCCCACGTCTCGATCGCAAGGAAAAAGAACTCTGCGATCCAGGGCTGTTCAGCGAGCTGTGCGAGTGGTGTAGATCGTGTAAACTGAAATAAATAAATAAATATATATATAAATATTTATGTACAAACATAAATTAAAGAGTTGTGCCTCCTTCACAAGAGCCCAGTCGCGTACGCACCCTTTTGCTTGCTTTGCTTTGCATGCCGTTTGCAGGAAGAAGAAGGCGGCAGTTCAGGCAGGCTCAATGGACGCTTTCAGCGTGCTTGCTGCTGACAGCTGCGGCCGTTCATGTTGAGAACGGAAGCACTCTGAGAAAAACCCTGCCAGATTGCCGCAGCGCCGGTGGTGGAAGAAGTCCAGCATGTGGAAGATGCAGGCTAACAGGGGGCTTGGTGGAAGGGGGCTTGGCGGTGATCTGCTGTTACTCTAGTAGAGGTTCTCCGTTTGATGCCGTGCAAGGTGCAGACCTTCCAGCTGAAAGGCACGGACTTTCTTCGTAGGGTTTAGCAGCCCGATAGCAGAGTATAGCATGATATATTATAGCATAGTATGCTACACGTATATTATACTATAGTATAATACAATATAATATGACATAATCGAATATAACACAATACTTAGATCCGTACATTGTAATAAAGTATACTATGCTACGGTAGAAGCCTCTGAAAGTTCAGGGATGAGATCGAGCCGAAGCTGCCCCAGCTGCCACAGCTGCCAGGTGCGCGGTACGATCTCTTGGGGTTTTAAAGGCTCAGCCAGCTAGGGGTTTAGGGCTTCGGGTTCATTGTAGTTGTGTGGGCTTATGTGGGCTTGGGTCCACCGAAACCCCTGTTTGGGCAACTGAAACGCCTAATTAGGCCCGGCTGACACGGGCCAGAAAGGAATGTCGTGTCTGCCTGCGGATTGAGGTTTCAGGCCGGCTACGATGTGATTGTATGATCAGGGGTTTTCAATACAATTATGCCGCGGAGTTACATCGCAAAAAAGGTTTGAGGAATACTGTTTGGGGATGACGGAATATTTATTCGCCGAGTCCGGCGACCCGCGCCCACTTTTTCACAGCATATGATGACGACTATGTCTACCACGACTGCTGTTCCCGATCTGACCGTTTTCATTCGACATATGCTTAGAGTGTGGTTCCCTGTAGTCTTACTCTCGGCTGTCAGGGTTGAGACTTCGATGATTATGGAGAGTGCGACACTACCTCGAACCGACTTAAACCCTAAGAGCTGGACTCGAGAACCCTAGGACCCCACGGCCTGAAGCCTAAACCCTTGATCCCTCAACCTCCAACCCGAAACCGGACCACAAGTAGCTTGACTCAGCATGACATCTTGGCAACGCTTCCTCCCCGCAGACAATTCCGCCATCATCGCGGCCATCGCCAACGCGCCGGAAGACGAGGAAGGTGAGGAAGAAGAGGAAGCAGAGGAAGATGAAGAAGTGGCAGAGGAGGAGCCGGGCACTTGTTGCTCTTATGGAATTGCACTGTCGCATGGGAAGTTCTATGAGACAGCGAACAGCCCAGGTCTGAACGGCCGACTGCCAAAGCGCCAGTCAATGCCTTTGGAGTGCTGTGTATAATATATGAAATATCACGTATATTTTAGGACATATAAGATTATTTTTGTTTTAAGCGCGATTTTCGAGAAGCTGCCTTCGTCTTGCCGCTGGAGATGCCCGGGAGCTCTGGACTTCACGCGCGGTTCCCGGTGTTCATGCTGTGCCGAGGTCAAGACCAGAAAGAAGGGTGTGTAGCTCAGATGCCTCGATCTTGCCGAATCCCAGCCGGTGCATAGGGCAGGGTTAGGCAGCCACGGTACTCGACCATCCTGAGGAAATGTGCACCATGTGCGAGGGTAGACTTCCTAATAAATTCTCCTTCAGGCTGGTGCTTTTGCTTTCGTTCGCGGGCACCGGTCGATTCCGATTCCGGGAGTGAGCAGGAGGACATGCGAATCCAACAGCCCATGTTTTGGCCGAGTTTTGCTTGATGCAGGAGACCTCCCCTCTTCTCAAGGCCGCTGCTCCTGAGCTGGGCACTCGGAGCATCGAGCTCTCCGAGCTTGGGACGGCGCAGTTCCGAGGCCGGCCGCTGCGAAGCCGCCGCCCCCCTCGGAGCGGACGGCCTCCACAGCCACCGGCAGTGCCTCGCAGGACCATCTTGGTCACAATGCTGTTATGGGAGGGAGGCTGTCGCGACCTGAAGGAAGTCACGGACACTTCACGAAGCATTGGTGCCACCCTGATGCTGGAAAGGTGTGCAGTGTCGTTCTCGTCGTGTGCTGTGGCAGTCCAGCACCCGTCGAAGAAGAACTCGCTCAAAGCGCACAGCTCAGGTGTTGAAAGCCCCAAGAAGGAGGAGGCACCGGCCAAGAAATCCAAGCTGAAGAGCTATTCAGGGAACAGTCCAATAGGTGAGTGCATGGTTTTTGCTAGCGCATGGATTACTGTCGTGCGTTTCTGCTGTTTTCGGGGTTTGCTCTTCCGGTCT